CGCCGTCGCCGCCGCGGGTCCTGCGCCGCGTCCAGCCCGCCCCGCCCGACCCCGGCCCGACCCCGGCCGGCCCCGCCCGCCAGGCCCCGGGGAGGGATGCGGCGGCGCGGCGCCCAGGATGCCCCGCAGCCCCGGGACGCGCCTCAAACCCGCCAAGTACATCCCGGTGGCCACGGCCGCCGCGCTGCTGGTCGGCTCCAGCACCCTGTTCTTCGTGTTCACGTGAGTCCCCCGCGTCACCGGAGGGGTGCACAGGCGGCCACAGACGGGCCAAAAGGGGCAGGGGCCGGTACAGCGGGGGATGCAGCTTGGCAGGCCTGGGGGGACAAGGCCCGTGGGCTGGGCAGGGCAGGGGGACAGGGGCCAGGAGGGCTGGGCACGACAGGGCTGGCACCAGGGCTGGGCTGTGGGTGATGTGAGCTCCCCACCCCGACCTGGGCTGAGACAGAAACAGTGAGTGTGCCTATACAGGGGCACCAGGGACAGGTGAGTTCTGTGTGGGGGCATGAATGCCTGGCTGGCACCTCATGATTGTGCCAGGCCCTGGGTGTCAGTTGCTGGGCCCAAACAGGGGAGTGTGTGCAGTGGCTGCCCAGGGTGTGGCTGCAGCCCTCCCCTCCCCACAGGCTGCATGAGGGGGGGATATAGGCTGCTGAGAGCCACCAGCCCCTCCAACAAGGAGCTGTGGGTGGCTCTTGGGTCCACTCCTGGTTGTCCAGTCCAGGGCCAGAGCCAAGTTGTTCCCGCGTAGGTGTGGCCTGGCCAGGCTGCCACGTGCCTGTCCCAAAGCCACCCTTGATGCTGGCCTGGCAGTGCCTTCCACCCTCCCTTGACCTTCTCAGGAAGGCTCGGGGTCGTAGCTGCAGGGCCCAGGCCAGGCCACACCCAGGGACACGGGCCATGTTGGACACTGGGACCCTTGAGGCAGAAGGCAGGCAGGACCTCAGAACTTCATCTGAGACAGGCTGGCTCACACATAAGCCTGCTGACAACACCATGGCTGTGGGGCACCCCCACCCCCCCGCCACCGCCAACAGGGCTCCCTCAGGTACAAGGAGGGGTGGGAGTTCCAGGCTCCAGCCATGCAGATCTGGGACCACCCACTTCCCCAAGTCCCATGCTGAGAAACAGCCCAGGTGACTACAGCAATGACTGCTCAAGCCTTCCTGGGAAACTGAGGTGTCACCAATGGCTGTAGTCCATGGGGGCCTCTGTTCCGAGGCAGGTCAGCCCGAGGGTGAATGAGCCTGGGGTTGAGGGGGGCGAGAGCTGGCTTGGCACCCTTGCTTTGCCTTAGCGAGAGTGAGGGTAGCAGTTATGAGGACGGCGAGCCTGCACTGGGTACCCATGGAGGCTCAAGAGCTCCCTACCTGGAGGGCGGGGCTGGGTGGGCGCACAGGCTGCCAAAAGCGGGTTTAAAAAAGGCCTGTGTGGACGGGCTTATTTCTGGCTTTGGCAAGCAGGCATGTTCTTGTTACTCAGATGCTGTTGGCTGTGGGGCAGAGAGGAGAGGGGCAGGTGGGCAGCGAGTATAGGGTCTTCTGGAGAGGTGGGACCTAGCCCAGTCCTGGCCCTGGGGTCCCCCACACCTGGCCTCAGGTGTGCTTTGTGGTAGCCTGGCCTCCACTTGCTGGTCCTGTTTCTCACTCCTGTAGTGTAATTCAGTGTTTTCCTCCCTGACATTAAAAGTAATATGTGTTCTCTTTCAAGAACTTGTGAAATGCAGGGAAATAAATCTTTCAAGAAACTGAAACCAACCCTGCTCCAGAGAGCCTGCCTGTTTCCTCTCCTCTCCTCTTAGGCTCACCTGAGTCCCGAGGTAGTGTGCTTGTCATAAGTCCTTGGCTGTGATTTCACAAGGCCCTTACACGGCTGTCCTATGAACTTGAAACATCTCAAGATGTGGGCACTGACGCTCCTGTACCCTGCCAAGTTCTTTCTTCCTCCTCAGAGCTGGGGTTCTGGGTTCAGGGACACCAGCCAAGAGAGGGGCAGGGTTCGCTCAGGGCTCTGCAGGCCTTTCCCTGTGTCCTGCCTTGTGTGTGACCCACTGTACCTGAGAGAAGGTGGCATGTGCCTCTGCAGCAAGCTGGGGGTGCAGGGGCACTGGCTGGGGGCCAGGTGCAGGCATCCTCTAGCCAATGGAGCCTTGATTACCCTTAGGACAGGGCTCCCCTCAGCCACTGAGGCCACAATCCCTGGGCCAAAAGGCCACTGGGGACCCTGGCCTACCCTAACCTTCGCTCCACCGGGGTCCTCCAAAGCAACTGGGTTCCTGAAAAGGGGTTCTGCGGGGCAAACCAGGACTACTGACACCACTCACAGTGTGCTGAATTCCAGGCAAGCAGGGGTCCCAGTGGTTGCCTCCTTGGGATAGGCCTCTGGTCACCCTAGCACCTACACTTTTACCCTTTCTCTGGGTCTAGGCCTGCTGCAGACTTAGACATGTAGGGAGGAGAGAACAGGCCACTCCTGTGTTTTCTCCACCTTGCCCTTAGGATCCCCACTGGCTTCTCTCTTCTCTGCTTTTACCCCTTGAACTGGATTGGATGCTGCGTGGCCCCAGACCCCCTCTCTGCTCAGTAAACATGAGTTGCCCCTTTTGGGGCCCCAGAAGCCCTTCATACTGTGGCTCAGTGCCAGGCTGGGTCAGGTATTGTGTGGGTTTCCAAGAGCCCCCAGGCTAAGGTCTCTGCCTTAGCCCCTTCCTCCTCACAGAGCCACTTTGGAGAATGACAGGGAGTCTGGAAATACCAGAAAGCTAGGGCTGCTTTTGGGTTACCAATCCCTGGGGCCAGGCTGGGCCATCTTGTCTCTGTCCAGGACCAGGGGGATGACTTCTGGGATGTCACTGTCTCTCCCCAGGATGGGCCTGAGCCCTCCCCATGCCCAGAGGCCCAGGCAGGCTGGAACGCCCAGCATGGGATGGTGGAGGGGCAGGCCCAGGTGGACAGAGCCCCTGGCAGGGGCCACACGGGAAGGAAGGAAACTCGGCGTGAGCCCCCTGCCAGGCCTCACTGCCTGTGGCCTACAGTATCTTTGGCCACCTGAGCCTCAGTTGCCTCATCTCTTAGGGGCCTACAGGGATTGGATGGGTGCAGGAGGACAGAGGGCCCTCCCTAGCCTGGCCAGGGTAGAGTGGCCACAGACCCTCTGGGCCCAGGTGCCCCTGCGCATGTGCATCACTCTTAAACACAAACAGTATTAATGAAGAACCCGATTTAAATGAAAACGTCTGAGTTAAAATTTTCCATTCCACATTTAGCTGTGGCGCGCATACTGGCCCTGTGGAACCCCCCCACCCCCACTGGGTGGTGTCTCCCCGCCGGGCTAGGCAGACTTGGGGCCTCAATCTGGGTGGGGCCCATGGCAGTGGCGTGTGGCCCTAACACTCAGGAGGCGGGGGCTGGATCTGGAGAAGGGCTTCTAGCCCCAGAGCTGGCCCAGCCCCCCACCCAGGCCCACTCTGGGCCCCACAGGGTGGCTGCAGCCAGCAAGGGGTGGCCAGCCCTGGCCTGGAGCACACCAGCCCCTGGGTGGGAGTGGAATGTTGTCCCTGTGGGCGGAGGGGCCCCTCTTGGAGCCTAGGACAGACTCAAGGTGGCCTGAGCACTTCTGCCTGCCAGGCCTTGCCCACGGAGCTTGCACGTCCTCAGGCGTCCTCCTGCTTGCCTGGTCCGCAGGGAGATGGAGCGTGTAGACAGGGGGTCGGTTTGAGGAAGGGCATGACATTTCTGCATTTGTGTGTGTTCACAAGTGCATATGAGTGTGTGTACATGAACGAGGGCACAGGTGTGTCTCTGCGGCCGTGTGTGTGTGTCGGGCAGGTCTGTTCTCACAAACATTTATGCACATGTGTCTTGCTTGTCAACACATGGTGTATGCTCACGTCCACGTGCCTTTTGGATGTGGTCATGTGTGTACATGTGTCTGTGTATGTGTATATCCAGTGGCATGTGTTCACACGTGTGTGTCCTGGAGTGTATTTGTGTGTCTTTGTGTGCATCGCACGTGTGCGTGTGCATGTGTCCCTGCCTGCTCGTGGGGACACATGTCTGTGCGTGTGCCTGTTGGCTCTGGCCGGGGAGCCGGTTCTCATTTGGCCTGACCCAGGCCTGGACCCTCCTGGCGTGGCCTGGGTGTGTAGAGGCCTCCTGAGGGAGGATGAGGGTTCAGGAATGCCCGGGAAGTCCCAATCCTGGGTCAGAGTCCGGCCTGGGGCCTGGTGATGGTGGGTGGATGGGGCACTGGCTCAGATCCCTGTCAGAGGCCTGCAACCCCCAGCCGCAAGCCTGCCCAGCACCAGCTAAGGCCCCAGCCCCCTCTCCCTGCTGTGTGTGGCCCAGGCACACAGAGGGGTGGTGCCCATAGTGGACAGAGGCCACCTACACTTCAGTGCAGATGTTGCCCTGTCATGTATCAGATTCCCAAACGTGGCCCTGTTGCTTTCCAGGTGTCACCCTAGGCATCTTGTTCGGGGCAGCTGTCCGGCCTGTACAGCCGGGGTGGGAGTGGGTGTTCATTGAGGCTCAGGGAGGACAAAGCAGTACGGGCCACCTGGGCCAGGGGAGACTCAGGCCAGTGCGGGTGTGGGGGCTGCCCGTGGGGTTCAGTCCCCCGCCTGCCTGCATGAGAGTTTGAATCCCAGCCCAGACGTATTCTCACCCCAAGGTCTAGGTATGTGACAAACTGTCCCATACCCACTGCTTGTCTGTAAAATAGGGAAGCAGAAGCACCCATTCCCTACAGCTGGAAGGGAGGATTCTGTGGTTCACTGCACTAGGCAGCTGGGCAACAGGCTCTTGGTATCCACTGGCAAAACCCAGATGGCGGGGATGGAGCCTCTGACTGTCCCCATGTCTCCACACACCATGTCCTCGTGCCGGCCATGCCCACCCACCTGCTGCAGCTCATGTGTGCACGTCTGCTAGCCCCAGAGCACCTCAGGACCTCTCTGTCCCTTCCTCCCCGGGGGCGGGCTGGCCCCACTGGCATGGGCCCTGCACGTGCACGAGAGCTGACCCTTGCCTTTAGTGCTCTGCTGTCCTGGCCTTGGCATTCTTTTTAAACACTAGGCCTGCATTTTCGTTTTTTGCAGATCGTACCACTAGCCCTTCCCAGAAGGCACCATGGGGAGCTGGCTTGCCCCACCTGAGTGGGGCCCCCGCTTCTCCCGGCCTCCTGGTTCTCCGGAGCTGACAGCTCCTGCTTGCCTGGAGAGCCTATCCCCACTGGCATTTTGGTTTCTGCCCCCCACCCCACCTTGCCAGGCAGACCAGACCTCCGGGGCCTGCTGTCACCTTGCTGAATGGGATTGGGTCAGAGACCATGACATACATTGAGCACTGTCTGTGTGCCATGCTTTAGCTCGTAGGGCTGGGGAATGTGGAAGGCATTGACTAGTGGGCACTCAGGGCTGCCCGGGCAGGGGGTAGTGGAGGAAGGCCCTCCCTGCAGAGGGAACCCATGTCCTCAGGGAGCACGTCCACCTCCACAGCAGGTCCTGGAGAAAAGGAAGGGGTAACTTGCGGCTCCCGGCCCGCTGCGCCTGCTGCCGTGGGAAGTGGAATCTTTAAATAGCCTCTCGCTTTCCACTAAAAATAGCGAAGTTCTGCTGCCATGGAGGTGGTTGCTGGGGTGGCGGGGCTGGCTCCTGGCCAAGGCAGGCGTGGGCACACCAGCGTGGCCGGCGTGCGCTGGGGCGGTGGGCAGGGCCATGGGCTCTACTCACCCTGCTGGAGGCCACGATGCCCTGTTCTCTCAGTCAGGGCTACTGCGGGGGATCTCCCTGGCCCTCCAGTTCCACAGAGGGGCTAGGTATGGGGAGGGGAACAGCCTGCCAGGGGCCCCCCATTTGTCAAAGCAGCCAGGAGCCATCAGGAGCCTGAGGCCAGAGGAACTTTATGGGAGCCAAGTGGTTGGACTCAGGGACCCGCTGCAGGGTTGGGACACGGGGCCACAGGTTATGTGCCCAAGGACTGGTAGATCTCCACAGAGAAGGCTCTGGTCTGGTCCCTAGAGGGCAGAAGAGGACAGCGTCTGGCAGAGCACCCATCCTGGAGGTGTGTGAGATCCTTGTAGGGTGCCAGGAATCTGGGAAGGCTTCTTGGAAGAAGGCGCAGCCTTGAGCCATGGGTGCGGGGGTAGTAAAAGATGGTAAGTGGCGAGGGGGTATCATGCTTTTCTAGAGTCTCTGGGTGTTCCCATTGTCAGATGGATAGTGAGATGACAAACTAGAAAGAAAGGGCTGGCTGGATGCGGACATGCCCAGTGGCCCAGACCCCGAGACTTCACGCCTCAGGGAAAAACAGGGGTGCCACCCACCATGCATTTCCTGACTGAGAATTGGAGCTCCGCTTGTCCCAGATTTTCCCTGGCAAAGAGGCCCTGCTGGGCTGGGGACAGGTCTGCCTGAGGGCCAGGGCTGCTTCTGTCTGTCCTAGCAGCCAGGTGGACTGGGCTCATTTTTCATCCTGGACTCCTGCCTCCAGTCTGCCACCCCTCCTAAACGTGGGAGCCCGGGCCCACAGGCCTCTCTGAGCCTCAGTGTCTTCAACCGCGAGTTGAATTCCTAATACGCACCTGGACGGTTGCTGGAGTCATTGTCCACATGTGGGCAGCCCACATACGGGCCACAAGGTGCCCAGCCCCGATCGTTGAGGAGAGAAGCGGCAGGCTGATAGGCAGAGGTCTCCCAGCAGTGATGTGGCGGCTGTGGCCTCCCCGACTGCCATGTTGAGAACTGATGGTGGCCTTTGATGGCCCAGCCTGCCTATGTGTGGCCATGCCTACCTAGTTCATCTGTCCCCACGCCCCATCCCCACCCATATGCTGCATCCCCAGACCGAGCTCTGCCCTGCTGTCCAACGCAGGTGCCCATGGTTGACTCGAGCTGTGTCCCCAGCTGTTCCTGTCTACAATGGCATCATCTTCCTCTTTGTCCTGGCCAACTTCAGCATGGCCACCTTCATGGACCCTGGCGTCTTCCCCCGAGGTAGGGCCCTGTTCCAGGGCATGTGATCTGCTCACTTTCACTAGAATGTGAGTGGCTGACATGTGAGAGCCTTTCAGGGGTGGGTCCTGGTGGGTGGGCTGGCAGAGATGCGGGAAGGACTCTCCTGGCAGGGAAGTCACTTTCCTGCCACCCTCCTCTGGCCCTGGCTCACAGCGGATGAGGACGAGGATAAGGAGGACGACTTCCGGGCCCCGCTGTACAAGAATGTGGACGTGCGGGGCATCCAGGTCCGAATGAAGTGGTGCGCGACCTGCCACTTCTACCGCCCACCTCGCTGCTCCCACTGCAGCGTCTGTGACAACTGCGTAGAGGTGACCGTCCCGCCACCCTGTCTGCCCCCATGCCATGTCCCTCCCCTCCTACCCACCCTGTGCCCTGACTCACTGCTCCTGCTCAGGACTTTGACCACCACTGCCCCTGGGTCAACAACTGCATTGGGCGCCGCAATTACCGATACTTCTTCCTGTTCCTGCTGTCGCTCAGCGCACACATGGTGGGTGTCGTCGCCTTTGGCCTGGTCTATGTGCTGAACCACGCTGAGGGGCTGGGAGCTGCCCACACCACCATCACGTATCCTTGGCTGGCCCTCGGAGGAGGGGGGTGACTGCCGGGGAATCCCCAGAGGGTGGGTCACCATTGCTGGTTGGGTGGCAGTGGGAGTGGTTTGTTCATGGGCACCGGCTCCGTGTTTTCGCCTATGGCCATTGGCCTTAACGGGCCAGCATGGCCGTCATGTGTGTGGCTGGCCTCTTCTTCATCCCTGTCATCGGCCTCACTGGCTTCCATGTGGTGCTGGTCACTCGGGGGCGTACCACCAATGAGCAGGTGCTGACCCGAGGAGGGCCCCTACAGCGATGGGGCCAGGGGCATCCCCTACAGGCCAAGAGGGCCAGGGCTGCACCAGGCCCATGTTGGGGGGTGTCAGGGAAGGGCTGCTGGAGCCCTCAGCTTCCATAGGGGGAGGAGACCCAGGGTGGTGCATGGAGTGTGGGGCCGCACCTGTGCTGCCCCTCCCCCACTCACTCCCACCTCTGGACACTGCACCCCTCAGTAACTCAGGGCCCAGAAATTTGGCAGCTTCCTGCAGGAAACATCAGGGGCAATGGGTGGGGGGCACCCTGGGCCGACCCTGCCCAACCTGCCCCCTGAGGAACCCCAGCCATCCCTGCCTGTCCCCGTCTGCCTTGTCCTGGACCTTGGGTGGCCAGGCTGGCTGAGGGGTCCCACGTCCACAGGTGACGGGCAAGTTCCGCGGGGGCGTGAACCCCTTCACCCGAGGCTGCTATGGGAATGTGGAGCACGTGCTGTGCAGCCCTCTGGCACCCCGGTGAGGCCTGGATGGGGTGTCAAGGGGCCTCTGCCGGGTTTGGGGTGGGCAGGTGTGGACCCTCAGCCCGGTTGACCTCTGCCTCTGGCAGGTGTAGCCAGCCTTGCCTTTGGTGAGCATTCAGGCCTGGTCACCCTGGTCTGGCCATTGACCCCTCTGCCCCCACCCCTGGCGCAGGTACGTGGTGGAGCCCCCCCGGCTGCCGCTGGCTGCTCGCCTGAAGCCACCCTTCCTTCGGCCTGAGCTCCTGGAGCGAGCTGCCCCACTCAAGGTCAAGCTTAGTGACAACGGGCTGAAGGCTGGCCTGGGTCGCAGCAAGGTGGGGGCCCTGGGGTCAGGTAGGGGATGGGGTAAAGGGCAGACCCTTGGAGGCAGGAAGCAGCTCTGTTGGAAGGGGCCTAGAAGTGGAAGAGGGAGGAATTGGGTAGATTCTGGAGAAGGGTCTAGGGCCCAGGGCCCAGGGAGGAATCCCCAGTTATGCCCCACCCTTGGCCCACACCCTACCCAACACTGACCACGCCCCCTCCCAGTCCAAGGGCAGTCTGGACCGGCTGGATGAGAAGCCGCTGGACCTGGGGCCGCCACTGCCCCCCAAGGCGGAGGCCAGCACGTTCGGAGGTGACCTGCAGACCCCACGCCCGAGCAGTGCTGGTGAGGTGGTGGTGGCCAGACAGAGGGAGGGACATGGACTGACCCCAGCCTGACCGTGGTCCATCTCCCCAGAGAGCGCCCTGTCGGCGCAGAGGACCAGCCCCCCGACACCTGCCATGTACAAGTTCCGGCCTGCCTTTCCCTCGGGTCCCAAGGCGCCCTTCTGCGGGCCTGGTGAGCAGGTGAGGAGGCCTGGCCCCACCCCAGGAAGTCCTACTCTCCCCCTCCTGGAGACCCTGTCCCCAGAGGCCTCAGCCCCTAGGTCCCACTCCTGGAGGACTTGCCCCAGGAGGCCCTGTCCCTGGGGCCATAGGGTCATAGAGAGCCTTGTGGGCGCCAGCAGGACCTCACTCTGTGGGAATCCCAGCTAGGCATGAAGGAAGGGCTGGCACAGGCCCTCCTGGCTGGCCCCTTCTCCTTGGCTGGTGGCATTGCCCGCTGGCCTGGTAGGCGGCTGCCCCCAGGGACAGTGTGTGCCAGGATGCCTGGAATTCCACTATTAGTCTCTCTGTAAGGCCCACGGGAAGGCTTCAGAAGAATTTGAGATTGTTTAAGAAAGCACATTTATTTTTTTCTGAGTTGTATAAGTACTCTACGATCACTGCGGAGCAGTTGGCAACCCTGGACAGCCTGAGGAATGATCCAGAACCCCGAACATTCCCAGGCTGCCCACCCTCTTTTGTGGCCATCTAAGAGGTGAGCCTGTGACTGGGCCAGTATGCCTGGACCGGTTGGTCGCCTCCCCCCAGGACTGATGCCCTGCTCGAGCCAGCATCAGCATCTCTGGGCTAGGCAGGGAATCTGGGCCTCCTTGGCCAGCATGCCATGGTCCTTGTCCCAGGAGGGGTGTCCATCAGCCCTTCTTGGGAATGGGGGGCTTTAGGTGCCCTTGCCTGCCTCATCTTGATGGGATTGTCCTGGGTCCCACAAGGATTCTGGCCTGAGTACACTGAGGGCACATTTGTCAAAATCCCCTCTGGGTTTTGAGGTTCTGCAGGCTCTCATCCCTGGCCCAAGCCCGTGCCCGCCTGCTTTGGTTCACAGAGACTCAGAGAGGCCCCTCCTCGCTGTTCCTATGGCTGTCCCCCAGGAGGCCCTGCCCCGTGTGGGTTCTGAGGGGCCTGCCCTGGGTAGACGCAGTACCCAGCTCTGGTCTTACGTGGCCATGACTCCAGTCCTCAGCTGTGACGTGCCTGGGAGAGGGCTCTGGGCCTCTATGTGGTTATTTTATTTATTTTTATTTATTATTATTATTTTTTATGTGGTTATTTTATCTCCTCAAGGCCCAGCTCCCAAGGCTGTGCCCACAGCCCCCTCCTCTTCTGTGGAGAAGTAGGAGCAGGAGAAGGGTGCCTAGCCTTCCCTGGGGAGGCAGCGTTTGGGTGCTCTTTTCTCCCCTGTCCCCACTTCCTTCTGTGGTGGGCAAGGAAGAGGTGGCTAGGGGATGGAGACCTTCCGTGAACAGCTTGTCGGTTACGCTTGTCACGGAGATTGTAGCCTCTAGGGGTGGGGCACAGAGCACCTGGTGGCTGGGCCGTGGTAGATGTGTGCCCTCTCTCCCCACAGGTCCCTGGCCCCGACTCCCTGACGCTGGGAGAGGACAGCATCCACAGCCTGGACTTTGTGTCAGAGCCCAGCCTGGACCTTCCTGACTACACGTCCGGAGGCCTGCACGCCGCCTACCCCCCGTCCCCGCCACTCAGCGCTGCTGACACCTTTTCGGGTGCCTTGCGCTCCCTGAGCCTCAAGGCGGCCAGCCGGAGGGCTGGGGACCACGTGGCCCTGCAGCCTCTGCGCTCTGAGGGCGGGCCCCCGACGCCCCACCGCAGCATCTTCGCCCCCCACGCACTGCCCAACCGCAACGGCAGCCTGTCCTACGACAGTCTGCTCAACCCCGGCTCGCCCAGCGGCCACACGTGCCCCACCCGCCCCTCGGCCGGCGTGGCCAGCTATCGCCCGCCCTACTTGCACCCGGGGGCGGCGGGTGACCCGCCGCGGCCCCCGCCCCGTAGCTTCAGCCCGGTGCTGGGCCCCCGGCCGCGGGAGCCCTCACCTGTGCGCTACGATAACCTGTCCCGGACCATCATGGCCTCCATCCAGGAGCGCAAGGACAGGGAAGAGCGGGAACGGCTGCTGCGCTCCCAGGCAGACTCGCTCTTCGGCGACTCGGGCGTCTACGACGCGCCCAGCTCCTACAGCCTGCAGCAGGCCAGCGTGCTGTCCGAGGGCCCCCGTGGCCCGGCCCTGCGCTACGGCTCCAGAGATGACCTAGTTGCGGGGCCCGGCTTCGGTGGTGCCCGCAACCCTGCGCTGCAGACTTCGTTGTCCTCACTGTCCAGCGCCGTGAGCCGGGCCCCGCGGACCTCCTCCTCCTCCCTGCAGGCCGACCTGGCCAACAACAACGCCCCCGGGCCTCGGCCTGGCAGTGGCTCGCACAGGTCTCCAGTGCGCCAGGGCCCGCCCTCCCCACCCAGCACGCCCCGCTCACCCTCCTATGCAGGCCCCAAAGCTGTCGCCTTCATCCACACGGACCTCCCGGAGTCGCCACCCTCGCTGGCCGTGCAGAGGTGGGTGCTGGGGGCCGGGGGCTTCCCGGCACAGGCCAGGTATCTGACTGCCTGTGGGACCTCTTAGCTGAGCATGCGGGGGCTATCTGGGAAGCCAGTGGCGGCCTCTAGGGGTAGTGGGGGTGCTCATCCTCTTTGGAGGCTCCCGGCCAGACTGTGTGAGGGTTGCCCAGCTCTAAGGATGCCCTGACACATCCAAGGATAGTGGGCGAGGAGGATTTGCACCTTGAGCCCCAAGGCTGCACATTCTCCTGCAGCTGGTGCAACCAAGTGGCAGGGGGACCCCAGGGTTTCTTCCCCTGGAGATGGTGTGGGTTGAGGAAGCTGAGTCTGGGGGACATCATCCTGCAGCAGGACATGCTGGCCTGGGAGCTCATAGCCCCAGGAAGTAAGGGCTTCCTTGCTCAGAGATGGGGAAATAGGCCCAGAGGGGCAGGCTGGTTCCAGGCTCCTGGCAGGTGGGTAATAGGAAGCAGGGATGGCTGCTTCACAGGGTCAGGTTCAAGTATATGAGCTGAGCGCCTGGGGTGTGTGGCTGTCATCAGGGCGTCTCTGCCACCTTGAGCACGGACTCAGTGAGGAGGCCCCTGCTGCGGCTGGAACCGGCCTAGTGGGTAGCAGCTGGACAGTGAGGTGGGATGGCAGCCACAGGAGGGAGGGGCGCCCATCCTCGTGAGTGTTTGGGCAGCGATGTCAGAAATGCTGTTGGTCAGTACTGGGCAGGCTGGAGGGCAGGAAGACAGCCTCTCGTTTTCCTAAGAGGGAGCAGGGAAGGAGCCAGAGTCACCCCTAGGCTCCTCAGCTTGGGGCATTGGGACAGTGCAGGGCCTGGGGTCTTGGCCAGTGTCCATCTGGCCTCCCTGTGCTCTGGGATCGTTGCCAGTGGGAGGGACCGAGAGACCTGGGAGGGGGCTGATGGCCATTCTGACATGTCTGTCCTGTGGCAACATAGTCCGCCCTCTGCAGGCTGTGCACCCCCACCCATCCTCTGGGTGCGCCCTCCTGAGCTCAGAGGCAGGGGCCACTCCGGGCTTTGTCTGCGTCTGCATCATCTGTCCCGTTGCCTCTGCTGGCCTCTGTCATGCCGTGGTCCCGTGTTCACTGTGTGTGTGCGTGTATGTGCTTGTTTTGATGCAGGGACCACCCTCAGCTGAAGACCCCCCCAAGTAAGCTTAACGGGCAGTCCCCTGGCCTGGCCCGCCTGGGGCCTGCCGCTGGCCCCCCGGGGCCCTCCGCCAGTCCTGCCCGGCACACGCTCGTTAAGAAGGTGTCCGGCGTGGGTGGGACCACGTACGAGATCTCAGTGTGAGGACTGACTGCCATCCATCCGCCGTGGAGCCCCGGGGACCAGGACCCCCAGCGGCTGCCCTCCCCTCCCGACTGCTCTGCTCCGGGAGACCAGGAGGCCCAGGCCTGGTGTGGACATGTCAGCGGAAGAGACCACGCCTCCAACAAGCCTACCCCTCTTCCTCCGCCTGTCCATCTGCCCATCTGCTTGACAGGGCTCAGTGGGACAAGGGGCCGCCAGGCTGCGGGTTCTGTGTGTCGGTGCCCCGGCTCCCACAGGCGGGGACGGCCAGGGGGTGTGGGTCATAGCTACACCTGCTGCCCTCGTGCCCCTGAGGCTGTCTCCAGGCCAGTCCCTACCTACTCCCCTCACAGAAGGGTCACCGTGGCCCAGAGATGGACAGAGTCCTGGAGCCCTGGCCACTCTGGACCGGGGCCCCACCACCCGGCTGCTCCTAACTCGTTGCCTTTCAGGGACCCGCTGGAAGCTTGTAGCTTGGCCAGGCCAGTTCCTCTTCGGGGAGTCAAGCCCCAGCCTACAGGCATCCAGCTCGGGGATGGCTCTGGGTTCTGAGAGACAGGTGGACGAGGCACAGACAGACAGCCAGCTGTGGGTGGGGTCCTGGCTCCGTGTGTCCTGTCTCACCCAGCTGGTGGGTGCGTCCCCATTGTCTGTGCGCTGAGCTGCCATGCCACGTCCCATGTGTTAACGCTCGGGCCCCCGCTGCCCCCACTGCCGGGAAACTCGCTTTCATTGAAGCCTTAACCTCTGCTTTATGCTCTTGTGGGAGGCGACTTGTGGGGGGGGGGGCAGGTGGGAGCCGGCACGGGCTGGACGCTGCCACAGGGGGCCCATGAGACCAGGAGTCCTCTCCCCTGCCAAACTGGAGATTCCCTACCCCAAGACATGCCAAGTCCAGGCCCCGCGGGAGCCTCGGCGCCCTCGTGGGAAGCCCGCGGGGGCAGGGGTCAGAGTTCCGCCTGGCGCCAGGGACCCGAGAGTAAGCACACGGCAGCGTCCGCTTGCGTTGTGTCTGTTTTATGTTTTTATATCTACATCTATATATCTATAATTTTATTAAAAAAAGAAAAAGAGTCATTTCGCTCCTTTCCTTGAGCAAGGCCAGGGCTGTTGCTGCAATGCAGGGGCTCCGGGGGTGGGGAGCAGAGTGGGTCAGGCTCTGGGACAGGCGTTGGCCAGGCATACGGGCATTCTTCGTGGGTTTTTTTCACTGACTTAAGCGGAGTTGGTAGCTTGGGAGGTGGGGGCTGGCCGATGGGTCTTTGGCTGACAAGCATGAGGCTCCCGTGGGTCTGCGGCATCCCTGGTGGTTAACAGTGCATTTGAAGAAAGGTTGGGGTTGCAGCTGCCCCAAGACCCCCTGGGAACCCACTGGGAACCCAAGAGCTTTTGGGGGAGATGGAGTAGGGGGTGCCTAGAGGGCCACCCATCGGCGGAGGGCCCTGTGGGGGCCATCGCCACCTCCTGCAGCTACACTCACTGGAACTCACCCTCTTGGCCACCTGAGCCTCCCCTACCCCCCCAACCTCCTGCTGCCAGATGTTGGGGGTGGGGGCACTGGGAATCCATGGCTCTTTAGGGCTAAAACAGCCAGGGCAAAGACTGGGAGGATCTGGGGCGGGGGCTGGCCCAACGCAGGAGGCTAGCTGGGCCTCGGACCCTGCCCTGGGCTGCTCTGCCCCTTGCTGACCTCCACCTTTCTGCTTCTCTCTCATGGGACGCTGCGGCCCCCAGGGGGCGGATCGGCACCTGCAGCCGTGGATGGGGCCGGCGTGGCCAGCCCAGGGTGCCCCCCGGCCTGCACCTATGCCACCTTGGCCTCCCCGAGGACCGCCCGCCGCTGCGGGCCCCCTGGAGCCCGGCCGCTGGGGTACCCCCCCCGAGGGACTATGTGCCGCCTGCACTCAGCTGCCTCCAGCCTTTTCCCCAGTCTCTCGGGGCCTGAGCGGGACACCAAGTAGGCAGTTCTGGGGCCAAGAGGACAGCCCAGGAAGCCAGGCAGCCACAGACCCTGGGCCGGGGGCTGGGGGTTCTCTCTCCACCAGCCGCACCTTGACTGACTCCCAGCCCGCTGGGGCTTGTGACCCTGTGCCCACCCACCTCAGGAAGTCCCCACCTGCTGCATGGGGTTCCACTCCCCAGGCAGGGGCCCCGGAGCTGCTGGGACCAGCACACCACCCTTCCCTGCCTGACCTAGCACTTTAGACGCCACTTCCTCCCCAGGGAGCCCAGGCCTCTGCGGGTTGGGCTGGGGTGGGGGTCTCAGGTTGCCCCTGCAGGTCGCTGCACTCCCTCCTCCCCACACCCAGCACATGAACAGATGCCTTAACCTCTTGGAGCCGCAGGCCTGGTGAGCCATCCGGGCCCTGCCAGGGCGGGGAGGAGACCCTGCCAGGCCAGTGTGTTCCTGGTGACCGCTCTGCCCAGCCCTGCCCGGCCATCTTCACTCTTTTACTCTTAGATGCGGCACCTGGGGGAGCTCAGAGGGCCCCCACTACCCCATGCCCTGCAGTCCTGGACGCCCCCGGGGGCAGGGCGGGACTCTGGGCTGGCCCTTTTCCTGCCTGGGCCGTGCCTCTAATTCTCCCACTTGGGGATGAGCGAGCCACAGAGCTATTCTCTATTGTTCTCAAAGGTATTTCCCCCACCCCAATTTAATGCCCTAAATAAAATTTTTGGTGTTTACCTCCACAGCTCTGTCCACCAACGTGGTCCCCCTGTCCTCCGAGCCTTGGGGCAATGCCAGGAGGCTGGACTGGACAGGGATCCTAGGTTGGGGAGGGGACAGGAGTGGGAGGTGGTGGGGAGTGGTGGCCGGTTGAGTGTAGAGAGGGTGGTGTGGTCGGCCAGATGGGGCTGGAGGGTTATGCAAGGGGTGCCAAGTTGGTGGGTCAGCAGATTCAGGGCCGAGAACCTGATCCCTGAGGTCTGCTGATCGGGCCTGGCCCCAGGGATGAGGCCTGAGGACCCCTGGTCCTCAATTTCAGTGGAGACTGTCCTGTGACACTCTCTGCTCAGAGCCCTCCCTGGTGGTCCGGGGTGGGCTGGGGGCTTCCCTCGGAGGGGCCACCTGACCAGCAGTGGATGGGGCATATGGGCCCTAAGGGAGAGGCCCCTCCCTGAGGAAACCTTGGTGTGAGACTGGCCTCAGAAGGCGGCAAAACCCCCTGCCTGCGCCACCCCCCCGTTTCCATGGAAACAAGCTCACACGCACCGTGTGTGTCACGACTATATGTCCAGCAGCAGGCCCAGCCCTCAGGACAGACCCCGCCTCCACCCTTCTCCGCAGCTCCTGGCGGGGACGGTGTGCGGCAGTGCCGTGGGCAGGGGCCAGCGCGGCCTCTGGGCACCTGGGGCCACGCCGGCTGCCTGGCCTCCTTCTCGCTGGGGTCGCTGGGCCTCCAGCCTAGAAGGGCAGGAAGTCGTCCACCTCCAGGCGCAGGAATGGGCCCAGCAGGGCCCGGAGCTTCCAGACAGCGGCGCGGCTCAGCAGGGGAGGCACCAGCCCCTCGAAAGGCGTGGGGTCCACCACGTACACGTAGGCGGCGGTGCAGGCCAGTAGGGCGCCCAGCAGCAGCCTCAGGGCCAGCAGCCTGTGGGCGGCGGTGGTCAGGGGGCAGGGGTGCCCTCGGGGATGGTCCCCAGGGACTGGGCTCGGCCGTGCACTCACGCAGCCACCTACCAGAGCTGGCCTTTGAGGCCCTCGGAACATCCCAGCTGCTGCGGCCTTGCCTTCTGCAGGGGAGGGGTTGGGTCAGAGCCTGACCCCATGATGGGGAGCAGGGGCTGGGCTGGGGGCGGGGGAGGGTGGTTTCCCTGTGCTGCGAGTTCTTACCCAGGACAGGCACCTGCTGTCACCTCTCAGGGATAATTGGTCACCTGGCTCCTGCTGGGGCTCCCGCCCTGGGGCCTCCTTCACTGAAGCCCACATCCCCTCCCATAAGAGGAGCCTCCAGGGTGAGACTGGGGTGTGGGCAGGGGGGCTTACCTCTACAAACGCCATCTGCTGCTCCTTCCTGGCCTGGGTGCGGCACTGGGCCCGCTCCCTGGATGGGGGGAGGGGTGCACCGTCAGGGCCATCTGTACCCCCAACCCCAGCCTGCCCCGCCCCCTGGGTCTGGTTCGGTGGAAATGGGGAAGGGTCCGGGGTTGAGCCATCCCATCCCGGTCAGGACACCTGCTGCCCCTTTCCCAGTTCAGCCAGGACCCCCAGGCCCCTGACCCTGCACATCACCCCAGAATCTCCAGCTGAATGTCCTCCATCTGGTCTAGTACTCCCCGGATGTCCTTCTTGAGGTTCTGGGGGACAGAGGAGGTAGAACAGGTCCTCTCACCCCAACTCCTTTGCCGTATTCCCCTGCTTCTTAATGCTCTCCCGCCCCCTAGATTCCTCTTCCTACTCCCTGTTCCCCTCACCCTCAGGGGACCTACAAGGAGCCCTGTAGCCTGGTTGTTCAGAGCCATGTGCACCTCGGCCACGCCGTCCCACACCTGGAGGGAGAAGAGGGGTAGGGTCACCTCCAAGATGTGTCCCAACAGGTGGGTTCCCCAGAGGCTTTTCCACCCCAGCTGGGCAGGCACCTCGGTAATGGCCATCTTCTTCCTCTCAAAGGACAGTCGGATCTGCTGCAGCTCATTCTGGGGAGGGGCACAGTGTGGGCACAGGCAGGGCCAACGGTGTCAGCTCCTTCCTCCGGCCACTGAAGACTGCTGCACAGAGAGTGCCTTCCCCTGGCCTGGCTCCCAGGGACCTACCTGTGACTGCTGCACGAAGGACTCCTCCCCCCGGCACAGCTCCCGCCGCAGCAGCTGCAAGGGTGCCCTGTCCTCCAGGGGCCGGGTACTGGCCTGCTCGGGGGGCTGTGGAAGAGTCCTGGGGTCAGCCCCGAGGCCATGGGCAGCACCTGTGGTCATGGACTTCTTGAGAGCCGGGGTGGGGCTGTGGCGCATGGAGTCACAGCTGCCCTCCGTCCTGCCACGGCTGGGCATCTGCCGTGCACTTACCCAGGCCAGGGCTGTGCAGCTCGTGTGCTCTGTGCATAAGGGTAGGAACTGCTGCCCTGGCCCCAGGAGGGCCCCCAGCTGCTCCCGCAGGTCCTGGTTCTGTCTTTTCTGCGGGGTGGGGGGAGGGGTGGGGGCAGAGAGAGAGACGGGACTGCTTGTCGTAGCTGCAAACAGCTGCGAGCCCATTGCTCAGATGGGCTCTGAGCCCGGGCTGATTCCACGGGGGCTCCTCACTCACCAGACTCTGGTTTTCCTGCTCCAGCTGGAGGAAGGACTGCTCTGCAGGATCCAGGGGCATGCTCTGGAGAGGGGAGGGGGCTGCCCTGGGCGAGGCCGGGGCTCCTGACCCCGTTGGCAGGGGTGGGCAAGGGCAGGGTCTGGGCCCTGAGCTGGGGGACCCCCCCTGCCTGGGTGCCCCTTGCTCTCGCCCCGAGTGCAGGGGCCAGCCCCACCCCAGCCTTGCCTCCACTTGTGCTTGTCTTGCCCCCACTGGGTCTCTCGGTCTCTGTCGCTGCATCTCGCCCTCTTCACTTGCCATAAAGTTCCCAGGTACCTCACCCCCGACCCCGGGCCCCCCACCCCCTGCCCCTGGAGGTGGGAAAGGCCTGGCAGACTCTATGGAGTGAGTGGAGCTGAGAGGCACAAGGCAGGGCCACCTTACAAAGCCCTGGCAGGGTGAATCCAGGCATCCTCCGTGGCTGCTTGAAGCTGACGGCTGGGGGCACTGGGGGTGGGAGTGGCCACAGGGACCCAGGGTTTTGGGCCCCTCCATAACTCCCTGTAACCCCTTCCTTACCCCAGGTCCAGGCTCTAGCCTGGCCTGACCTGCCACCCTCTTATTGAGGGCCCTCTAGGTGTCATGGCTCACAGGTCCGCCTCAAGAGTGCCTGTCACAAAGGCCTGGGCACAGCCAGGGAGGTCATAATGGGCTGGGGAGATGGCCAGAGCCAGGGCTGGTGGGGCCCCTCCCCCCAGGTGCCTGTTCCTGAAGTGTCCTTCTCCGCTCCTTCCCCCTCACCGCCATGCATCTTCCCCACCTCAGCTCCCCCACCTGCATTAGTTATTTTCTGAAAATGTAACAGATAATGCAGGTGCAAAGTTAAAACAAAATCAAATGCGAGATGTGTTATCCAGTGTGGTCCTCCCACCCCAGTTCCCACCACCCACCACCCCCAAAAGCCTGGTCATTAAGATCCTTCTGGGGTTCAGCTGCACATTCTGCCCGGCTGGGCAGCACCCCCCCACCCCCCCCACCCCCCGCTTCACACAGAAGAGCTTATCCCACAGCCTGGCTTTTGCACCTAACCGATCTTCAGGATTTAAAAAAAAAAAGTCATTTATTGAACATTTACCTTAATGGTTCTATAAGGACGATTATCATCCTCTTTATAGGTGGGGACACTGAGGCATGAAGACACGGGGTCCCTTGCCCAAGGTCATTCCACTGTTAAGTGATGGAACCAGACATAAGATTGTTCTTCAGTGTTTAAAAGCTTTTTTGTTTGTTTGTTTGTTTGTTTTAATTCCAGCATGGTTCACATATGTGTTCTATTAGTTTCAGGTGTACAATACGGTGATTCAACAATTCTACCTGTTACTCTGTGCTCATCATGACAAGTGTGCTCTTAATCCTCTCCACCTAGTACCTCCACCCCCCACCCACCTCTCCTCTGCTGACCAGCCCTTTGTTTTCTGTAGTTAAGAGTGGGTTTTTTTTTTTTGTTTGTTTGTTTTGTTTTGGTTTGGTTTGGTTTCTCTCTTGTTTTCTTTGTTCATTTGTTTTGTTTCCTAAATTCCATGTATGGCTGAAATCCAATGGTATTTGCCTTTCTCTGGCTGGCTTATTTCACTTAGCATTATACCCGTTAGCTCCATCTGTGTTGTAGCGAATGGCAAGATTTCACTCTTTTTTATGGCTGGAGTAATATTCCGTGGACTATACATACCTTGTCTTCTCTATCCATTCATCTGTTGATGGACGATTGGGCTGCTTCCATATTTTGGCTGTTGTAAATCATGCCGGGATAAACATAGGGGGCATGTATCTCTTTGAATTGGTGTTTTTGTATTCTTTGGGTAAATACACAGGAGTGGAATTACTGGATCAGAACGTAGATCTATTTTTAAGTTTTTGAGGAAACTGCATACTGTTTCCCACAGTGACTGCACCAGTTTGCAATCCTACCAACAGTGCATAAGGGTTCCTTTTCCTTCCTTCCTTCTTTCCTCCCTCCCTTCCTTCCAGATTTTATTTATTTATTAGAGAGAGAGAAGGAGCAGGAGCAAATGCAGAAGGAGAAGCAGACTCCCAGCTAAGCAGGGAGCCTGATGCGGGGCTCGATCCCAGAACCCCAGGATTGTGACCCAAGCTGAAGGCAGATGCTTAACCGACCGAGCCACCCAGGCGTCCCCGAAGGGTTCCTTTTTCTCCACACCTTGCTAACATCTGATTTTCCTTGTGTTGTTGGTTAGCCGTTCTGAGAGGTGTGAGGTGGTATCTTGTAG